GAACCTGGCACGGCTCTGTAGTGCCACATTCAGCTCTAGCACTGAGCTCAAAATATTAGCTCAAAATATTCCTGTAGTAACAGCTATGTTATTTTTTGTGTATTTCAGAGAACAAATGACTGTAACAGACTTGCCATAAACACAAATCTACAGTATCAATTTATATACTTCTGTAGCATATAAGCCAATCGATAAACAAATATATTTTGAGCAAATAACCTGGTCTGCCCGAGCTGACTTCTCAAGAAGACAAGCAGAAAGACACACATCCTTACACATACCACATTTTCCTGTAAAAAATTAAGCACTCACCAGATGTGTGGAAGTAGAGTCACTGCTTCTTATTTCTGTGCTACCTTGCATCTCAGAGGTGGAACATGCTGGCTCAGATAATGATGGACTGTGAGATATCTCAACAGGGCGAACACCTACTGCTGCTTCTGCATCTTCATTATTCCTGAGGAAAGAAAATCATTCTTAAGTAGTCAAACCCACCATGAATATGAACACGCACTTCTTTTACACAGAAGCCAATCTGAACTTCTGCTATTAAACTTACAAAGTGAACCTAACGCGCTCTTACATCAATTTTTAGAGGAAATAAAGATGTCTTTCTACCTTCTGCTGAATTTTGAACCAGTGATTTTCCAATAATTACTGATCCCTGCTGTAGTGCTTTAGCTTTTTTTAAGTTCATTATACATAATAGCCATTGCCACAACAAAACTTGAAGTCATTGCTTGCAATTTGCTGCGCTCTAAATCCATTTTTGAATTGTTTACAGTATTAGCTCCCTCCCAAATGTAAATTGCCATGTTTCTACATAAGAAACAACACAATTTTTATTCAAATTACGTTCATTTACTTCTTACTGTCATCTTTGAACTGAAAACATGTATTTGACTTTCTAGACTTAGTGACTTGAGTTTTTTTGATGTAAATATCATGCTGCATTGAGGATATTTGCCATTGGTCAAATATCAGAACACAGCAAACCATTTTTTTTCTGAAGTTAACAGCTTTCAATGATGAGGATGTTGCTTAAGTTTTATTTAAAGAAAAGTTTAACCAGTTTTCAACTCTAATACTATAATCTAATAACACAACCTAATAAATCAAACATTCTAATGAGCGTGGAAGCAAACAAATCTGATTAACATCAAAATGAGAACTATCCTTCTGACACTATTTCTTTTTATTTTTCCTCTCCAAATGTTAGAAAATAGTACTCATGATAAGCTAATACCAAGTCGAAATGTCATGAATGTAGTTACTTTCAGTTATGGCAGGATCACATAACGTGGATATGGGGATGACTATGGAAGGCACTCAGCATTTGGCAGTGGTACTTAAGACTTCTTCCTTCAGGCAAGTAATTAACATCATTTCAAACTAATGTGATAGAAAAGGGAACGTATCGTTACATAGGCAAAGCATAATACCAGATGAGCACAGATATAGTTATTGGAGTACTTAAATTTACTTTCAAGCAATATCAAACCACTGCTTTCACTCTTAAACACTTTCATGCAATGCTGTTAACACTCTCCAAGAAGAGGATTAAACTAAATAACACTGAAGCACATACAATACAGAACACCATATTCCCAGAATTGAGACCACTTGTCATATACACCTTGGTGGTTTCTGGGCATCACCTGTTGGGGCCCTATGTGAAAAAGACTCTATTTAATGGTTAAAAAAAAAGCTGTCGCTGAGAACAGGATCATAATTGGCAGATATTGATACCTGTCTGCACTCTCCACAGGTTGAGCAGAAAGGACCTTGAAGATGTATTTGTCAACCATCAGGGAAAAGCTATCACCAAATTTCAATGAGTGCCATTCATGAGCTTCCAATGGTAGCAGACGGCCATTCTCAGGAGACTGATAAAAGCATGAATCTACATGAATCTGTGGGACAGAAAGAACAGCCAGCATTAAAAAAGCACACATGTACATAACATGGCTGGATAACACACACCAAGCTCTATCATACAAAGCAGATTCGCCATAGGAATAGCTACAGCAAAGCTGCAACAGCAAAACATTAAAGACAAAATAGGCATATACACAAGATAGCACAATTAACTGAACTAGTTAGTGAAAAGGTGGTTTGCTATTTTAATATCTAAAATTGATATTTAACATTTCAGTCCAATTGGATTCTAAAAAATAAAACAAACAAACACAACCCAATAAAACAAAATTAAAAACACAATGTAAAACAAAACTAAGTGTGAACTGGTGGGAAGGTAAACTTCAAAACTAGTGGGGAAAACACAAGTAAACGTGGTCTTAGCAGGTTTCCAGACCTAGAAACGAGGGCCACAGCTCACATCTGCAGAGTTAGCAGCATGTGGACTGAAGAACTAGGATACAAATGCCACTGGCACACAACTCCTACAACATTCAGTCAAGTCTTTGAAATAATGAAGCCTGAAACTGAGAGATACCAGAGCAAATAAACCTGTGGCACCAGAGCAGCTCCTCTTGGCCCTCACAGCACCGGTGAGCAAAAGAGTCACAACTCTGTTCTAACAGAAACAGCAGCATCCACACATATCTTAAATGTTTTAGCATAGCCTACGCACAAGCTCCAATTCACTGTAACTATATGAAGACTTGATGAGTTAATTACTGCAAAAACACCTCCAATTTTTAGAAAGCCAAGCATTTGAGTAAGTAAGTTTAAAACTTCCCTCTAACAACAAATGGGTTTATTTGGAAAAGAAGAAAAAAAGACTATTATTTGGGCAGCCTGGTCTAGTGGTTGGCGACTCTGCACATAGCAGGGGGGTTGAAACTAGATGATTACTGTGGTCCCTTTTGAGCCAGGCCATTCTATCATTCTCCGATTTGCTGAAGAGCAAAGGTTGCAAATTCAGAGATTTTTTTTTGGAGAAGAATCAGGGGAAAATCAGTAAAGGGAATGCATCTCTGTCTCAAAAGCAAAAGCAGGACTACAAAGTAACATACAAAACCTCTGCAGTGTTTTATTTAATTCACCCAATCACTATTCTGTATGAAAACATTAGTAATATTACCTGAAGTTAGAATGACACTGAATGTGAAAGCAAAAGTTATGAAATGAGAGCAAGGAGAACTGAACGCTGTTCTCAAATCACAAGTGTAACATCACAAGAAAACCTAAAATAAACTGCAGCAGCTGTATTTTGGCTTTACAGGTGTAAATAAGGAGACTGAAGTTACCGGTTTGATGCGAACCTGGCCACCCACCACTTCCAATATGGCATGTTTTCGGGATATTCGCTTATCAGTAATCTGAAAAGGAGATAAGAAAGCGATGTGAGATCCATATATTTAAGAACCAATTTTCAGAATCAGAAGCCTAAGGAATCCAGCACATCTTAGCAAGCTCTCACTTGAGCGCTTGCAAATCTGCTGCTCTGATCTGAAACTCAGCTGCTCGGATCTGGTTTTAAAAGCCTAAGTCCAGATGCTCCAGAGACTAGATACTTCTCACAAGAACATACTGAAACTCCAAGTGGCTTTTTTTGTTTTGTTTTGTTTTTTCTTAATGAATACTTCATTCTTACATTAGTTAATTCATTTACACAGGATGGGGCAGGGTGTCTAAATACTGTTCTATTCACTGCTAAGCATCATTACTGCCCACAGAGCTGTGGGTGCCCCAACCCTGGAGGTGCCCAAGGCCAGGTTGGATGGGCCCTGGGCAGCCTGAACTTGTAGGGGGGCAGCCAGCCCATGGCAGGGGTTGGAACCAGGCAGGCTTTAAGGTCTCTTCCAAGCTCAACTATTGCATGACTGCACGATCACGCAGTAGGCATAAGTGGCTGAAGACACTGTTGACATCTCACAACAAAGAGAAACACAAGAAGTGTACAGGCTTTAAATAGCTACCAGTATGTGCTATGGGATGTCCGCATCACTGTCAGCACAAAAAACACTCTGACCAGGGAAGAAAAAGTCTGCTTCAAAAGAAAATGAGAAATAACAGTACAGTAACACTCTGCTTTCAGGACAAATTAGAGTTGCTAGAATGCACCTCTTGCATTGCTGCAAAGACATCTTCCAGGCTGGACGTGGCCCTGGGCTGCCTGGTCTGGTGGCTGGTGACCCTGCACATAGCTGGGGGTTGAAACCAGATGATCATCGTGGTCCTTTTCAACCCAGGCCATTCTATGATGACCTGTGTTTGCAGGAACACTGCAAATCCCCCACCACTCCCACCCCATTCAGCACGTGGCAGGAACAGTCCTTATAGACGACAGTTCTGATAGAAGTTGTAAAGACTCCGTTAAGCTCTCTGGTTGACAGCCCTGCAGTTTGTTGAAATAACAGAGAGCTGTGACTCCGGACCAAGTAAATAAGGATATTCTACAGTGCCTCTGTACAAAGAAAATAGGGATGTTCTCCTTGGAATCAGTGACTGAACAGGTAACAGTGAATACAAAATCACCAGGAAAACCTGTGTATGATGTGTATAAACTGGAGATCTTCCGTGCGAGGCGCGCACGATAGGAGGAGCTCAGCCCCCACGCACCCAGCACGGATAATAAAGAAAGCCTGCTTTCTAACACGACACCTTCAGTCCTAGAGCTTCCTCATCAACTGATTTACGGCATCGCTGCCATCGCTTCCACACCACCGAACCCATTTCCACCCCACATCACTAAACGACGACTGCAGGCAGCACAGTCGTCGGCTCAGCACAGCACTCAGCTCACGGCCCGGCCGCGCCCCGTCCGCACTTACACCCAGCAAAGGGCCGCGTCCCAGCAGAGTCTCCCCGGGCGGCAGCGCTACGGGGCAGCCCCCGTCACACGGGGCCAGCCGCACGCCCGCCATGCCGACCTCAGCTCGCTCACGTCGTCCCGCCCCAGCCGCACACCGAGAGGGCGCGGCCGCTGTTGGTGTTTAAATCCCTCCCGGCTCCTCCCGGCGCGGCAGCACGAGCCCGGAAATTGTAGTCCGCCGCTGCCGCCGCCGAGACTCGCCGCTATCTGACGCGCGGCTGGGAGAACTACGAGTCCCGGCACGGCTTGCGACAAGGGCCGCGCGCATGCGCGATGCGCCGCGGAGGTCGCCCTGTTTGTCAACAAGTCGCGGCGCTGATGGCGGAGCGCTTCCAGAGGCGGACGGGTACGGGGGCGCGCGGCGGTAACGGTCGAGCTGCGGCCGCCAGCGGCTTGGCGGGAACGGGCGGTCCAGTCAGCGCCGCGCCGCAGCGCACCTGTGCTCGGCTCAGGGCCGGCTAGCCGCGGCCGCGGGCTGAAAGGGTGTGGAAGGAGACAGCAGTGAGGGTCAGCTGATGGCACTGCCGTGCCACCGGGGCGGCATCCATAACTCCACACAGGCGGCAGTAACGTGGGATGCTCGTTAACTGTCGCGCTTTCCTCACTCAGGCTTGCCGACCTGACTCGGCGAGAGCTCTGAATGATGCAGAAGACAGCCAAGAGAAACAAGCAGTCGCTGACTTGTGGCGAACCGACGCTTCTCCCTCCCGACAAGAAGAGGAGAGGAGCTCCAGCCGACTTTGTGGCGCTCCTGCCTCCCGAAGTCAGCGTGCGGATCTTCAGCTCCCTCGACCCCCGCAGCCTGTGCAGCGCTGCCATGACGTGCAGGCGATGGCGGCTCGCCATTGACGGCAACGACTGGCTGTGGAAAAACCACTGCTTAACAGTGAGGGCTGTCTGCCAGCGGGAGATCGATGGCGACAGGGGAAGTGGATATTCGTGGAAGGTAAATGGAACGTGAGTGATGGTGGTGGCAGCTTTGAAGCTTCTTGGGGTTCGTGGCAGAAATACGCAAATAGATTACATAAATCTGTGTTTCTCATCTGTCCAAGGCTAATGCCAGATGCTTGGAGAATCACTGTAATGCCAGCGTGGCTCGGCAGCGAAACCAAACTGGGAATCCAGTTAAATACACACAAACACATTCCCTATAGAAACGTCTATATCATTTTTCTACTTCCGATATCTTCTTTCCTACACAGAACCTCCTTTGCTTGCTCTTCGATTTCTAGTTAGTCCCAAGATCACCAAAGCAAAGTGGCTGGAAAGCTGGATTGAGGTGAAGGCTGTGGGGCTGTTAGCTGGCTGAATGTGAGCCAGCCCAGCACCCAGGTGGCCAAATAGCATAGCCTGTCTGTCTGATGGTGTATGAGCTCTTGTTGTGCTTCACTGGAATGATGCTGCCTGTGAAGAAAAAATTCCAGATAGCTTTCTCTCAATGCATTTTGAGCAACATGCATCCAGGAGGAAGAACTTGGGGTAAGCAAAAAGAAAGAAGGAGCTCACAGGAGCTTGCAGATGCTGTTTTGGAACAGCCTACACACACATAGATACATTCCAGGTTCTGGCTGCGCTGAAGAGAGAGCAGCTAGATGTGCTAAACAGTGTTGAGTCCAGCCTCCAAACTGAAGTAGATCAGGAAAGGAATGGTTTCACAGTTACTCTTCTGACCTTGCTAGAGGGTGATCCCCACCCTATCTGAGCTGGTGCATTTGCAAACAGTGCACACAGTGAGGTGTGAAAAGAGAGCAAGCAAAATATAAAAAATAGTAATTAAAAGAATTCTGGACTCACACTCCCTGCCTTAAACAGGAAGGTGTTGACCTCCAAATGTAGCCATCTTTCAGCTCTTGCACAACAGTTTACAAATCTCTCTGCACCAGATCTCTATTTTGTTTCTATTTTAGAGGGGGGACGAGCAACAAATAGACAAAGCAAGCATTTCATGCACTAAAAGGCTGGTTGAGTAGAAGAATACAACCAGCCTGTGTTACGAGCATGAGCCAGACTTAAAGGTCATAAAAAACCTAAACAGGAAGAGAAAGTGAAAGGCTTTTTTTTTTTTTTTTTTTTTTTTTTTTAATAAGGAGGAAGATGAATTCTTGTTTAGGGTTTTCATTTCCCCATCATTTTCAACCTCTAAGAACTTAGGCAAGAAATGATCCTCAACCTAACTTATAAAAGATGGAAGTAGACCCAATTTTGGGCTTGGCATTCAGGTATGAAAGACACATTCCAAATCCTTTTTCTGGCACTAACTCTTCCAGTGCAAAAAACTTATCCGTATTGAATGCAGCTTAATTCCGTTTACTTCCAAGATTTTAGCTGTCTGTTTTTCCATCAGATCACATTACTAAGAAACTACTGGAAAAGCAAAGTAAAACAAGAATGGCTCAGTGGGAAATACAGTAATGTTCACTCACAAAACAACTTGCCGGAGAAAAGCATGTATCCGATGGATGTTGACACATGGGGAGAAATCCTGGAAGCAGAACTGGAGAGATGAGAAACCACCACTGCTGCTTGCAACTCAAGAACCTTACGTCAACACATGGACTGCCAGCCTGTAAATATTTTGCTGTTTCAATTAGTCATATTTGCAAACATACAAAGAAAGCTTCACAGGGGAAAAAAAAAAAAATGCAAATAACTTTTTACTTGCACTTGATCAGATTGACTGATACAAAGAGTGAAATTCTAAATAAGACTCATAGTCTTATTCAGTATTCAGTAGTAATTTCATATTTGTAAATTTAATCTTCTGTATTATATAAAGATGTTGATTGTACTTTCAATATGCACTTTTTAAAAAAGTCTTGTAAAAAATATGTGTAAGTGTTTGATTCAATGTGTATTGTATCAGCAGCACGATGTGGGAGTTCACCAAGAGACACTGGGCAAGGACAAATGCAGACATTGCAAAGAAGAGACAGCCACCTGGTGGCTCAAATGCCAACATCTGCCCCAAGGGACAGAGCCTGCACATCTGGAGGTGTTGGTGCTGAGCAGCACTGCGTTTCTGCTGCCCAGCTCTGGGACTTGTGAATGAGGACTCGCGCAGCAGGGCTGAAGCAGCCACTTCACTAACAGCCTCTCCATGATCAGCTACGCACGTCTCATTTCTATAGAAGGCAGTGAAACAGGGAGTAAAACACGTTTCATTTATTACTTTGGACAAAGTAACTCAGATACTCTATGAAAATAAAGTTACCTCACACAGTTATACCATTTGGAAACTCTTACCTTTTTCTGTGTTGTGATCTTCTATCAGACAGATTCTGATTTATCTGCACCAATCTTTGCAGTGACTTGAAAAATTGCTGCTAGTATAAGAGATGCCCATTACTCATTACAGATCACTTTTTTACAATTTGGTTTGAGTATCACCTTTCTTGACCTACACTTCTGCACTAAAGAGTAATTGGAAAATGGTGGAAAGGTCCCTATTTTTATTTTTTTTTTTAGTATTGCCTAAAAGAAGTCACTGATCTGGAACCTATTCAATATAAAAAGAGTTCTACCATGCCTAGAAACGCAGTTTATTATTAACTGCGTTTAAAGCAAAAGCATATCAAATTGACTACTGTGTTCTGTGGCAAAAGGCCCTTTGGTAGGTGTGTTATGTCAGCAGCTCCAGGCTCAGGACTAGGTCAGGTCCTCATTGAAGTTGGGTAAAACGAGGACCAGCCCTTACATGTAGTGGTGCCCAGTAACACAAGATGGAGCAGTAGAGCAGCTTTGTTCAGGAAAAGCACGTATCTCGGTCGCCTGGGTTAAGACATTGTTGGATGGTGCTGGAGTTTAAACAAACAGTTCAGAACATTTTACAACATATGTGTATTTATTTTTTCACAGTTATTTAATATCCAGTGAAGACACACTTTTATCCCCTGTCCTTGTAAGAGCCTGGGCTCACAGCTGCTTTTTTGCTGTAGGTGCCTTTAGCTGGAAGGCAAGGAAACACAGAACAGCCGGGTGAACACCACAGTTCTAAAATGCTTTCAAGAACAATACGTTGATTCCCTTTCTAGTTAGGAGCATTCCACAGACTCCACTAGAACTGACCCACTTCCCTCAACCTCCTATCTTTTACCTTTTTAAATGGATGCAACACTTAAAGTTCACTGAAACTCATGCTATCACACAGCCACCACAGACATGGCTCAAGCGTAACTTAGAGCAAAGCATATTGCTAAGTACAGTGGGTGTAGCGTGAATTTCAATGAACTGCAAACACCACTTCCTTTATTATGAGCTATTCTGCCCTAAAATTGTACCTTGTTACCCAATGAAAGAAAAAAAAAAGAAAACCAACAAATTTTTCCACTGAAGATGCTGCATCACACCCTATTCACTGCATTTTCTACTCTAATTTAGAGAGACAGAAATTGGAAAGACACACATAAATTGAGAAAAATGTGCTTTTAGTGTTATTCTCATCACCTCAAGAGTGCCCAAATTATTAATACAGGAGAAATGCACAATAATGGATCTAACCCCTCACCTTTCTTCTCACCAGCCTCCTCCTATTACTTCCAGTCCTCATGTCTCAGCTGTTTTTCACTTCTTGCTGCCCATTTCCTCCACATCAGCCATCAGTTTCTGTGTATCTGTCTCACGTACAGCATGCACTTAGCTGTAGTGCTTCCCCCATTCCCTTATGAGCTCAGGAATTACTTCAACTGTCCACTTCAGGTGGCTGTGCCTTTTTAAACACATTAGGAGTTAAAAGTGCTCAGCCATGCAATTAGACAAGGCCTCACTCTTTCAACATGCGTTTTCTTTCAGTGAGTAAAGTTATTACCAAAACAACATGATTCCTCTCCTCTCTTCAAGCTCCTATTAGAGGGTTTTAATTCCATTCAGAAATGGTTTCATCAGTTTTGGTCTTGCTTTCCCCTCCCTACCCTTATACCACCTACTCAGCTTGCAGCCCAGTTAAAGGCTGACTGTACTCTCCTCTTGCTTTCAACATCATCCCAGCAGCATCCATAGTGCAAACAGCACCACTTTGTACACCATCCATCTGTGGTTTGCACCTGCCTCTTCACCCTCGTAGCTTCAAGCAAAAATGCTGAGTCGACTCCAGCAGGAAGAACATACCAATATACACATACCTAAATTATTGTTTGTGCTTTGGTATCCCTCCCCAGAGAGCAACCTCAGCAGAGGCCACTCATGCAGAAGTCACCTACCTCCTCTAGATGCACACCAGCTATCCTCACATCTGGGTGACTGGTGAAGCCCTTTTTCTGCTTCAGTACCAAGCTCTCTTACCCGTAACTTCTGAGGAAGCAGAAAGTTGTGTTCAGTATGCTCCACCTACGTTCCCTGATGTTGGCATACCATTTTGGCCCTGCTACTCTTCCATTTTCAGCTGCAGAAGGATGCCTCAGGCATCCACCACCCAGGATTCCCCATAGCTACGTGGCCTTGCTGCCTCTCACCATTCCCACCCCCTTCGCACAAAAGGTCCTTTGAGTTCACGAAACTTGTGTAGTACAAAGCAAATACTTTGTCCTCCTCCCACACCCCAGCTCAAACCAGCCAGGTTTCTGTGATGAAAAGGACCTTTCTCTGCTGCACAAAAACTTCCCCAGCTGCTGCGTGCAGCTTAGCATCAAAACCTGCACCAAAGCTCAACCAGAGTTCCCCCAAGATATGTATTTTATTTCTGTATTTCCAAAATGACTGTGGTTTTAGAACCTCTTCAGCAACTACTCACCGCTGCAGAGCTCCATTTTTGGAGGAAGGAACTGTAAGTTTGGCTTTATCACGGTGCAGGATGTGGCTTAGGGCCACTGGCATTACAAGTCAGGCTAATGAAAAAAGAAAGCACCGTTACGTTCAACACAGATTTTGTTTAAAGCTTTGTCCCTTGTTGTGTCACCATCAGAATATGTACAAAGTTTGTCTCCGTCTTTTTTATCAAGCCTCAAAAGGCCACAATGAGGTCTCCCCAGAGCTTTTTCTCCAAGCTGACCAAGCTCATCTCCCTCAATCTGTCTTTTAGCAGAGGTGCTCCAGCCCTGTGGTCATCTCTGGGACCGCACAGCTCCATGCCTGTCTTGTGCTGGGAGCCTGCCATCAGTGTGCCTTCATTACATTTCTAAGAGATCCTACAGACTGAAGCAGCTGACCTCAGTCCCGAGCACTCACCTCTTATCTCTGATGAACTTGGATAGAGGCATCTCAGATTCCTGAGAGTGTTACAACACTTGGCCGTTGTTTTTCAGTGTACTGCTTGTTCATAAAATCCTGTCTCAAAAAAAAAACATGGCAGAAATCACCCTATGCACTTAAAGCTGAAACTCAGCAGTGGCTTCAGATCATTAGAACATCCCTAAGAACATGTTTTGTGGTTGGTTTTTTTTTTTTCCCAGACCTCAAGGTCTGTGGATAGAAGTGTGAGGAGAGAAGTGAGGGACAGAAAACTCAGGGGCCTTACCAAGATGCAAAATAAGAGGATAATTCTCTGTATCAAATAGTTATTGGCAATCCCCTCTAACTGATAAGGACTGTCCAGTTCATCATTGCCATCAATTTTCAGCAACCACTGACTTACAAAGCAGGACAGAGAAGAATTAAAAACAAACAGCCTGTAAGGGTGTGTAAATTCAGGTAGTATATTTGTTGTTTTTTTAAATTATTCACATTAATATCCTTGCAATCATAGAAATGCATGTGCTGGTTTTAATGCACAGTTCTTAAAAACTATAGCAGCCAAAGGACCTGCTGTTTGCCAATACAAAGATGCCACAAGGCACTGCAGTGTATTGGCACTGCTACTAAACACTGTTTTTGAATGTCTCAGAACACCAAACACAGAACACCACGAGTTGTAGTTTTGCAGATGCAGATGACACCAAGCTGAGTGGTGCAGTTGATACAATAGAGGGAAAGGATGCCATGCAGAGGGACCCGGACACGCTTGAGAGGTGAGCCCATGCCAACCTCATGGAGTTCCTTCAACGAGGCCAAGTGCAAGGTCCTACACCTGGATCAGGGCAACCCCAAGCAGAGATACAGATTGAACAGAGAACGGCTTGAGAGCAGCACTGAGGAGAAGGATTTGGGAGTGTTGGTTGATGAAAGACTCACCATGATCCGGCAATGTGTGCTTGCAGCCCAGAAGACCAACAGTGTCCTCTGGGATGCATCAAGAGAAGTGTGACCACTGGATGGGGCTGTGAGCAACCTGGTTTAGGGGGAGGTGTCCCTGCCTATAGCAGGCAGTTGGAACTAGATGGTCTTAAAAGTCCCTTCCAACCCAAACCATATGTGATTCTGTGGTAACAGGTACTTAATCGAGGATTCAACTTGAAGGCAGATGGAAGGTACATGTTGAGCAAGCTGGAAACAGTAGGAAGACTTCTAACAAACCAGACACTTTAATCCTAGTGGAAGGGAAAGGAGGGAAAGCTGAGAAAAGCAAAACATTTATCAGCTGTGTAAGACAACACTGCCAATGCAAAGAAGTATGACAATACTCCCACTAAAACCTTTGTTCATCTGCTCATTTGAGGATGTTTTTAAATAGCTTCCACTATTCTTCCATCACAATGCTAAAGAGAAAGAATACTCTGCAAGTTTAGTTAGGAAGATCTGGTGACAAGATTTTGCAAGATACTATAAATAGAAATATGCCATGAATGGCTTTAATTGCCTATACTATTTCTGCTAATGTATTGACCAAACTGGCTTTTCTAATGAACCTTTATTCTAGAAGATCACTGCCCCATGGACATTTTCATCACTAAGTTGTACTGCTCATTAAAATCACTCTAATACACAACTCTTCTATCAACACACGTCCTTAGAGATAACCACAGTGAGAGCAACTCAAATGCTTAAACAGGGAAACGTCCATGACACTGAGTGCCCATGAAGTAACCAGACGTCTATACATGGCACATAGATATGACAACGTTAGAGGAAATTTCTGCTCTTCTAGAAGGATGACTAAAGACCATGTGGTGTGTGGTAGGACGCTAAAAATACCACCAGACATTTGTATTTATGTATCTGAATTGCATTCCATGATACCTACAGAAATTGCCACAAGTTCTCTTAACTCTTTTTAAAGAAGGAAGTTTAGTTTAAAATAGTTTTAAGACAGGGGAGGTAGCTGGTGGATAGAGGAGAAAGGGGAAACAGAACTAAACTGTTTCATCTCCAATTCTTTAATACACCAGAGTCAGGGAAGAAGAGGTAGAAGACTTCAGTGATAAACATACAGAATAAAAATCAAACAAACAAACCAAATGAATTCCATCTCTTTGAATTGCTCCAATGAAAATCTATTCCTCCCTTGTTCTCAGTCATCTTCTTATAACGTGATGGAGCACGAGAGGGAAACGTTGCCATCTTAAAGGCTGAATCTATGCAAGGATGGGGAAGAGCTTGACTATACCCTACCTCACTTAAAATGGAATACAGCTGAAGTACGAGAAGCAGTTTTCTCAGCCTTCATATAGTTTTACTCTCTCTTCAACTAAACAGAAAGGGGAAAGAAAAAAAGAAAAAGAAATCAGAGCCAGAAACACAGAGGGGAAAGCCACAGTTCTGCTTCTAAACACAAAGCAAGAAGTTATATGTTCTAATCCAGGAAAAAAAACACACTTATTTCGTCAGAAGTTCTATTTCAAGAAGTCCCATGAGTAACAACAGACAAAGTTTGGTTTCAAAGATTATCAAGGCTGTTTTCTGTTTAGTTGGCCTGCAAATTACCAACCTCCATTTTAAAATGTAAAGGAGTTCCTAAAATAAGCTACAGCATTGAAGGGTCATGAAACAACCATATTCAAATTATTTTCATGCATCTTCAAGCTTCAGCCATACTATCATCCCATACAACAACAACCAAAACCTGACAGATACACATGGCTGCACGTTGGCTCCCTTTCACACTCATTTTGCGAATCACCCAGAACTATGTCTCATATTCTATATCTCTATTTCCTTGTTCACCAATGAACACTTTCAAAGTTGGCAAGAGATGCTCTCCGCTTTTAGGCTCCAATCCACCAACTGCAGAGAACAGGAGAACTCCAAGGGCTCCACAATGCAGCAAGACTCTCTTTTAGTGGCTAAGCCATGCATGGTTGGCAGGTAAAGTCATCTGGAAAGGCAGCAGCACTTCATCATTCTGAACACTGATCCTGACTCTATCACGTGCTTTTTAAGACTCCTTTGTGCTCCTCAGCATCACGCAAGTCAAATTAGAAAGGTCATAGTTACTCAGGAACCACACTGGTAGGAGAGAAAGCAAGGGAGAGGAGCTTATCAACTCTTAGTCGTGAGAAGCAGGACTGAGTACAAACACATGTACAAACACATTTATTCCACTTTTACCTACCTGAAGACAAACTCAACACAGTGCATTTATTTACGTATAAGCCAAACAGGTTTATTAAAGAACTTGTGGCAGTTCTCTGTGTGCTGCACACAGCTTTCTCATGCTGCCAAAGCTGTCAAACCCCCACAGTCCTCAAAGAGAGGCGGCGTGGTGAGAGGAAAGGCCCAGAGCATCGCCCTCACAGCCTGCAGGAAACCCAAACAAGAGAGGAAAATTAGAAGCCCGGCTTCAGGCTTTCTACTGCACACAAAAGTGCATACTGAGCACAATTAGATCTCCACATAGCAACGTTATGACCACAGGTCACTAACGAATATATACACGCCTTCCAAAACGTAAATGGAAGACATGAATAGAAATACCAACTTCAAAAAACAAAGGACTTTTGCCTACTTTTCTCACTCTCTGAAAGCTCAGTGCCATGTTCCTTCGGAGCTCTAAAAAGAAAAACGAATTTTTTTTCATTCTCAAAAAGAATTCCTAAGGGGAGTTTTGGTGCTGTGCAAGCCTGAATCTCAGAAGAAACAGAGATGTATTACAAAGAGTTACCTAGACCCCTGTATAAGTGTTTTACACTTAAATAACCTCTACAACCTTCTAAAGCTTTTGAGAACAAATCAGCAAAAAATATTTGTTATATAACATTGGTAATAAAATGAAGTCTAAAACCACAAGCAGGATTACTGCACAAAGGCATTATTTACAGCATAGGAAGCACAGCTACCAACTTTCTCTGGAAGAAAACACTAGATTACACCTCAGAAGTCCTAAGTATTTTCCCGTCTTCCCTATGAGCAAACTTTACATCAACAAAACACACTTTTTTATTTCACCCTGAAAACAAAGACAGAAACAAATATCACGGAACCACAAAGAACTCTAACCTTACCCTTCAAGGGAAAGCCAGAACACAAAACAAGTAAAAATCTTTTGAAAACCACTGCTGGAAACTGGTTAAGACAGAGTCGCCTCCACCTGGGGAAGGGACTATTGGATAATGGGAAAAAGCACCACCCGTGGCTGAACAATTAGCAGGCTGTTGCAGTTCTCATGGATGCTATATTTTTCAATGTATTTACAAGTTTGTTTTGTTCAGTTTTCTTTTAAACTGTGGAAGAAGGAGGTTCACGCTATAAGCGTGTTTTTGTACGTGCATCATTAATAGACACCCCTGAAAACCAGCTCTGATGAGTACATGGGCAGCATGCCAGGGGAGGGAAAACTATGGCAAATCAAACACATGAGGATCTTCACTGTAGATGACATTGTACATGTCTTACAGTAAACAAAGGTTATAAATATAATCCTTATTCTCAGCGGTTTCTTTCGCTTTCCTGTATTCTATAACAAAAGACTAACTCATCTTAATAGGAAAAAAAAGTAATTATTGTTGAAGTAGCATTTACTGACCGCATGGAAGGATGATTTAAATAGAAGGTGAAAACAGTTGGAAGAAGCGTGGATCACAAGCATCTGCTCTCCTTTCTTTCTCTTTTAGTTGGCCTTGTACTAGGCCTGCTCTCTCCTCTAGTGCTAGCATTCAGTATGCCTCTTCCCTTCCCCATCTTCTGAGTAACTGGACTTGCCTCATAATCTATGATATAATTGCATTTTAATATTTAATTTCCTTGGACAAAATCCGTTTGGTATGTCTGGAAATTGTACTGGCATAAAAATAATCCTTTTTTTTTTTTCCTTTGCAGACATCCATTACGGTAGCCTTTGCACCTTGTCTCAGCTCCAGCAGCTGTTTTCTGAGCAACTTCACTCAGTTTGAGGGTTGTGACAATTCCCATTCTATCACGCACAATTCTTAATGTCAGATTACCTGTGGCACTTAAATTCTCACTTTGATTTTCAGAAGCACTACCACGTGTTTGAAAATGGAGTATCTTTGAATAACAGCCCCATATTAACCCTTGTCTCCAGGTCATCCCTTGTGGAAAACTTATCACAGAGATGCCTCACCGTAAAAAGAAAAGTTTGGGCTTTGCTGAGATGTACTTGTTTCTTATCACGTCTATTTTTAAAGCACACATCCATCCTGGAACGCGGAGCTAATTATTTGTGTCAAGATGTGTGGCAACCTGAATAAAAGGAAGATCGGTCTGGAGTTGCGCAGTACCTTCTCAGGCAAACAAAAGTCTTCAGAGAAGGAAAAGAGGGCAGGGTGGCATGAGACATAAACTTGCAGTCTTCATGTTTCCCCTGAGATAAGTGCTCGGGGTGCACGTCATAAAGAGCCACCTAGCAGGTCAGAGAACCTGTTGTCTGGTACAAACATCAGGTCTCTTCCCCAAGAGATTTGCCAACAATACCACTCATGTGTAGGCACTGTACCAACAGTTGCATTCCTCCTTTGCAATGCTAAGCTGGACGAGTTTCTGTTTTTCATTTTCCTGTGCTATAGGATATTTTGGGGTTAGTGAGGTCTGAGAAACCACAAAGCAATTATCAAAAAAGCAAGGCTGAGCAAATAGTTATCTTCTCTTCACTGTGAGGCTTCCTTCCTCAGAATAACAGACCAGGCTTCAGCGATCCTGTCAGCTTGCATGAGATACAGGAAATGCCTGCTACAAACTGATTTCCTCTATGTCCTAAATGGATGTGACAACACTGTCTCTGCCAGCCCGCTGCCTCAGCACAGCTGCATTTTCTGTTATTTCTGAGAAGAAACTCAGCTTATTAAAGAACGAGATCTGATCCTTTACCAGAAGTAATTCAAGGAAGTGAAAGACACCAGGAGTGCTCTACCACACACAGTAGAAAATTACCCAGATTCAAGGGTACAAGCAGCTTCTTGAACAAATCCATGTTTCCTTTAGGATAATGGAGACTCTGCTGACTGCCAGTATTCGCTGTTCTCTACTGTTGAGGTCACAAATATGCCAAAGCCTGCAACTTCTGAAAAACCAAGCACTTTGGGGGTTAAAAAAAGAAAAAACACCAGAGATCAATAAACAAATGGAGATGCCTGTGAGATAAAAACAGAGTAGAAAGTGTGGTTGAGCTTTGAGCTTAGCATAAGGCCCAACATATTTTCCTTTTGGGCTGATACAGTCTTCTGAGGTCCAGATCTCATCAGACTACACTGGCTTCTACCTGCAGAGATTCACCAACAAGAGAGTCCCAGCAAAAAGTGGTACCTGTTCTTCTGCAGGTGTTTGATATCAAACCACAACTCCATAACATGAACATAACTGCAGAGTGTTCTTTAGGCAAGAGTGAAAGGCACAGTATTGGTATCATGTTAGAAAGCAACAAGCCATACTTAGGCCATCAACCTTCAGGTACATTAGATTAGATCTCTTCAGACTTGCTTTCTATTAACTTTGCTATCTGTGTGAACGAGATGATGATACATTCATACCCTTTCCCCTCCAAAAGGGGGAAAAAAAAAAACCAAAAACCAAACTTATCAGCAATCTGTTATTGTATTTATAGCTTTCCATTGTGCAGATAACCATATCAACCCAAATGCATGCAGTGGATCACCAAAGCTTTGTTTTCATGTTAAATGAAAGCACCATGCCCTGAGAGATTATCATCACCAAGCTGGTCCAATAGACCAAGGCACAGTCCAGTTACTGCAGAAGCTGCTTGTACTACCGCTTTACCAAAACAACAACAGCTTTTGTGATAATACAGCTTCCATGGACCAGATGAAGTTTCTTCCTGAACATCAATCTGGTTACCCTAAGCTAAAGTAGCAGCTTTTCCTGGCTCTGTTTGCATGGCATATGTGTGAATAGGGTAAATACACATATAATGAAAACAGAACTAAAGATAAGCTTTAGAACCATATTTATTTCTTAGTTTCAAGAAACCTGAATAAGAGTTCTTAAGGATAAGAAATCTAATTTATCTTTTTAAGTTTCTTTTTAAGTTCTTTTTTTAAGAAAAGGCTACGTGCAGAATGTCACATGATGACCTCCAGTTAAAGTTTGAAGACTTGAAGGTTGGAGGCATAAGTATGACAAAAAAAACAAAGATTGATCAGGCAACTTGACACCATCAAACAACACTTATTGCAGAACTAATAAGGCTCCTCTAATATGACTTAAAGCACAGAGCCAAGCATTGAGTACATTTCTGTAGGTTAAGACAGACCCTAATCAACAGCACCTCAGCTGGAAATTCAAGTATCAACTTATGGATCCTTTTCCTCTTCCTGAAAGATTCTTAATTCAAATACAGGTCAAATCAGCAGTGCACAACACTCCAGCAGCTGCACTGGCATCTAAAGGAAGCAAAACAATGATCCTGGAGCAGATTCTTTTGGAGAAATTTAGTGAAGGTCAAAATGAAGTTGGTACAGAAAAACTGAGATTGCTTCGGAAGAATCACAGGCAAAGAATTTTCCTGCATGGATACTCATACAGCTGTCATTGATTTGTACATTTGTACACTATGCTTTCTGCATAGTGCTACCACAGTTGTCTGTACTCTTCCTTTCCTTGTCACTGAAGGATTATAAAGGTGTGGATCACATTTCCAAAAAATATTTATTTCCTTAGCTCTATTGCATTACTTGGATAGCTGAACACGGCAGCAGAAAGATGGGCTAGTAAAGAAGAAAGGGTAAAGTTTGTCTTGGGAATCCCTTGAGTTATTAGAGGATACTCAAACAGTAAAGGCTGAATCATACTGGCTTTTCCTTGTGTACAGACAGCAACAAGATCCTGTCCGCTCTTAATGGTGAAATCCTCGCTATCAGCAGTGGCAGCAGGGAAAGGCATAAGGTATAACCTTCCCAAGGCATACTGAATACTACAAGAAGCACACACTAACGTAACATTCTATGCTATAATTTAGTAAGATACTTTCCACTTGTGTTGTGGTTGTGCCCACTACAGAACCGAAACTTATTCCCCCCTCCCAACCCACAAGCCTTAGGAGGCTTTTCTGGTTGACATGACTTTATCTCAGTGAAAAGCTAAAATTCCTGTTTTGTTTTGAGCAATCAGTTTCAGTTGTCCTTATTGCTGGTGGATCATCTTCATTTCCCAGTCCTAGCAACTGTCTGAATTGCTTTGATCCACTCTGTACGCTCTGCAGATGAAGCTGCTTGCAAGTAATAGTGGACTTCACTTGCTGTGATTATTTCAAACAGGTTGTTTTCAACGTCATGCTTCTTGGCTACAGGAAAGAAATAAGGAAGTCAGCTATGAGTGATCAAAGTCTTGCATTTAAAACGTTTCTTCCTTTACATTCTGTGAAGGGATTTGCCCCCTTTCTATAGCTGTGCCTGGCCATACCTGTGTAAGCAGTTTGCAAAATTAGGCCCATGAAATCTGTCATTGTTTTGGAGTAAAAAAATATGAATTCTGCACATTTCACCACTGCTTCGATGGAGAAGAGAATGCATAGAGTGAATGTTTCTTGTTCCTGCAGCAATGCTAACCATTGCTCTTCCCACAGCTTCTAGTTTTGGGAAGGAGAAGAATATGTAGAGCAGCAAATTCATTGGCACTGCCATTTGTAACCTAAAGTTACCATCCAAAAAACAAACTAACAAGAGAACTCAGCTTATTTCTGTGGCCAGTTATCTTAACATAGGGATACCAGGTCATCATTTTGACTAGTTTAAACAACTGACAAAGCACAAGATACCCTGTTGCTACCTTTAGTTACTAGAGGAAGGTACTGTGATAAAGATAACCGAGTAATTAGAATTATTAGTAATTAGAACAATTACTGAATTGGTGCAAATTGTTTTTGAGTAAAAATAAAAAAATAAAAGAAAAATCACTTGTGATTTTTTGGCAGATCGAAAGAATGCACCAAAACCCTGTAACAGCTCTTCCACTATGGTTCCTTACAGTCTGGCATATCTTCCACTGCAGTCACCACGCAGCCCCTCAAGTGGATTGCTCCTAGTGGATCTTCTCCCTGAGACAGATACAAAGTCAGCATAAAATACAACACTCCTCAAACTGTTCACATCTCTGTAACTGACTACAGCTCCACAGTGGAAACAACAACATTTGGCGACTAAGGGTGTCACCTTAGAAAACCAGGGATCCTCAGCCAGTGTAATATGAAGGGTAAGGGCGTTCACAGATCTGTAAATAAATAAGAAGCCTTTTGGAATTTGGAATTCAGGATCTGCAGAGTATTTTGCATGTCCTGAATAATGGCATGGAAAGAATATAAACCACCTTGTGCCAACTACAGGCTTTCCTTTTCATGGTGAAAAGAAGCTTAATTAGAAAGAAGAGCAGATCTTAGAAAGTTTTTGTTTGCTTAATTAGAGAAAAAAAACAACCAAAAAACAAAACCAGCAGGAGCTGTTATAACTTTGACTATTTTTCCTTCTTTCATGCTTCTAGACTGTGATAGGCAAAAAATGCATGGAGAAGCACCTCTATTAGCATAAGCCTGAAACATGCATTTCCTGTGAGCTGACACTTCAGTATTTTGGGAGGAAAAGCCAGGAGTGGGGAAAACACACCAGAAATGGAGGTCAAACTCTTCAGTGTTGAGTCCCCATTGTGTCTAAGCTGCTTCTGCCAAGCAGGACAGGCACAGAACCTGTAACCCACAACAACAGCACTGCTCCTGCAGCTGTCTGACAAACACACATAATGGGCTGAACCCATATGGACGCCTGCTTTTAGGGTAGGTTTTTTCTGCAGTGATGCTCCTTCCTTTCTCAGAACAGTATTTGGCCTATTACAATTACATGCAAAGTAAAGTGCCATGTCTCAGTCTGACATGGAAAATTATGAACTGCAAAGTGACTGTATTGCCTTAATTTGCTCTTTTCAATTTGTTCACTTCTAATTGACCACAGAGACAAGGTGAGAGCACAGTTCAGTACTGACTGCTCCCAGGTCTGGATGTCACTTGCCACCCTGACATGCCAGCCCCCAAAAACATCATTCCCTCTTACTCTTCCAGAGTGACCAGGCAGTGTGAACATAAATTGCCCCATTGCCCTGCCTGGCTTTTTTTAATCACACATTCCTAAGCAAATACTTCACTCATATTTCTAGAGGAGGGCAGCCTGAAAATCAAACAAACAAAAAACTAACCAAACTTCAGCAACAACAACAACAACAAAAAACAACCCCAAAGCAAAACTGCCAAACAAACAGAAAAATAATTCAAAGTTGACCAAACGTGTCTTACTCCAGCAGGATCATAGTAGTGAAGATATGCAGGGTCCTCTCTTAAAACAAACTTTCTCACTTTCCAGTTTTTCCTCCGATGCCCCTAGAAAAATTCAAAAACACAGATGTCATGAACTGCCCTCCCTGCAAATGCTTATGGCCAACGGTGCAGTTATAATTGCACATATATATAATCATTGCTATTAGCAGCCAGGCTCAGATCCTAACATTTCTCCACAGCATCCCTGGCTGGATGGCTGAGGAAGCTTTCATGCCAATTCACAGCAATGCCATTCTGAGACACTCAGCCCTCCTAGGGCTCCAGGCACTGCACCCGACTTCTAGGGGCTGCCCTCAGAGCATAATATCAGCATGTAGATTTAGCTCCAAACAGTGCAGGCATCCAAATGTTAATAAAAGTTGCCCCAGCCTTTAGTCCATCACCTCCAATCAATCAGTATTGTTTAAGTGCATTCCAGCTCTGGGAGATCTCATCCTAGAGCTCAGTTTGGCCCAGCTGGTCACCTCAGGGACTCCTGCTGGTCACAAGGACCCTAGGCATACATGGACTACATCCAGCTCATCTGGTTCTGCCCTTTGTTCTTCCTGGAAGATGGGAAATTTCCCTTCCTGACCTTCCCAGCCTGAACACGATGAGTCACCAGAAAAGCTGCAGGGAAGACAGACTGGGTGACATCCCAGGGCATCAGATCTGGAAGCATTTCAGGAAGCTGAAACACTGACTCATTTTACAGCACTCACAATGTAACTGCAGTAACGCCATTACACAGCAGGACTACATTTTCCCCCATCCATCACTCCAGTCTTGAAAACAGACATAATCAGCAGAAGCAGTGGTGCCTACAGTGAGCCACAGTTCACTGAGGGTGACCAAATCCAGATTAAGTGGTAAAGAACATCATGAATCATTTCCTCTTGGCATTTCAAAATATTGGTTTCTCAACTAACTATTGCTGCTTGCAATAGTTCCTACTAACCAGGCTGAGGTGAATGTGACAGGGTAAGTGTTAGCAGAAAGACATACCTAATTTCTTCTGTTGCTTTTGAGTAACTTGGTTGAACAAGAGAAATACAAGGCTTATTTTTCTCTTCTTTAAAGCTTTTAAGAGGAAAAGAGTAATCCTGTATCTTAGGCTAGAAAGGGTAGAAGGTGCGTGGTACCAACCTGTTTTAGCAAACATCCTTGTTTGACTATCATGCCTCTGAATTCTTCTTTCAGGACCACATCATCATCACTAGAATTCCCCTCACAGAAAAATCCACTGTCAGGCTGCATGATCACAAGAGAACATTAAGTAGTTACACAAATGGTACATGTTTATACATGATGTATGAGTGTGGCTTCTTTGCCTTCCTTCCACTCTGTTTCTGATACCTAAAAAAACCCAACTCTTTCACTGAAAAACACTCCAGTAAAGTTGAGGACCTCTCCATGTCACACTGGAAGCATTTCAGATTGAGGACTATGAAAACAGGTCTTCGGGCTTCTGAAGAGAGCTGTAGCACCTCCACGCATCACAGTTTACATGAAGCAAAGCTGGCACAGCCAATACATTTTGGGCTGCCCATTCCCAACCCAATGTACCTCTCCTCTTCCTACATCAAGCACAGCATCTAAAATTTGTTTCCATCCAGGCTGTCTATCATCTCAGATAATCTGTGATGCTGCTTAGTGAAACTATGTAATTCAAATGGTATAAATGAAGGTAACCATTTGTACTGTATACAGTAATCTTTTGTACTTCCAGTTCATGTGAAAACAAGCCAGGTGCTGACCTGGAGTTTCCTCCCCCAGATCACTGAAGCAAACTAAAAGCAAGTTTAAAGCAAGCAGAATGCACAACGGCTATCAGAAGCGTCATGGGTAGCCAGGAACCATAATGGCTACATGGTTCCTTCACCAGCACTGCCAGTGCTTCTGTTTCTGCCCAGGTACCATAGAGATACTCTAGGAAAACAAAGCAAGCAATGGGAAATTCATTTCAGTGAAGTAGGGTGATTCTATGCAGTAAGTATAAACAGAACTGTAAAACTGAAGCAATTTTACACGACAGTAAGAATACTTTTTGCAAGCATAAGTTTATAAGGCAAGCATTTTTAAAAGCAGTATTTGGCTGTGATTGCAGTTCTTCATATTCTGTGGACTGATTTGAAGAAATAAACTGAAAAGATTGGGTAAGCTACCCAGGACAGGGGTTACAAGTAGATATTGAAAGCTTCTGCTTCTTGGCTTATAGGCAAACTCTGCTTGCATGCATGTGAACTGAGTCACATCTGATGGCTCTGAGCACAAAAACGTGTTTCCAGCTTGAGCTGCTCTAAGAAGCCTCATGATGATGAATTACTCCCTTCCCTTCCATTGAATCATCATAGGGGAGCTGGTGGCCAAGTCTTGGTTACTGCTGAAATTAATGGGAACAAAGTCTAAACTAAAAAGAGCCCAGTTTGATCTCTGTACTCAGCTCACACAGAGCGACAGAAGAACTGACCTTACAAATGTTGAGTCAGTTTATTCTGAGCGTCACACAGAGAAAGATGTTTAACACGGAACTCTCAATTTCTGACAACCTTTCCTCCAGGACTTAAAAAACAAGGCTCAAGCCTGAGAAGAGTATCTGCAAACCAGAAACAAAGGAAAACCAGTACAGCACTCACAAAGTAGTAATAGGCATCACTAAGATCCAGGAAAGGGGTATCTGACAGTCCCTCAGCTGCAGCCTTGGATGTATCTCCTGCAGGCTGTAGGTAGCCTTCATTCAAGAGAGAGGAGGCAAGCATGAGGCCTTCTTTGCGATTTCGGATGGAGTTGCTAGACACCAGCCAGTCAATCACAGCAGTGCCTGGTTACAAAGGAATTAACAATATGAATATCAGCCACAGACCAAGACAAACACACAGAAACCTTATATAAAAAAAAAACAGCAAGAAATAAACACCACAACAGGCAACAAGTCCACTCCATCTAAACACAAGTCTCCTGAAAGATATTCTCAGTGACAATGCAGAGAATTAATCTGCAAATGTGCCTGTGTCATTCAGTGAGGTACAGCTAATCCAATTGATGTCCTGGGCCAATACAACTCCTGAACCCTGTATTTCCAGGAGAAAAGAGCTTGGAAAAGATGCAGGGCTGAGCTGGGAAGCTTCAGCAGGAGGGACTGGAAAATCCAAGCCTGGAGGAGACAGTCTTTCAAGCTGCAATGTTACTGATGCAGTGTTGTAGAAAGAGGTTGACATTCAAGCTTAGCACCCACAGATTTGAGTTGGAGCAGGACAGGAATTAAAACATGACACAGTTTGATGTAGAAAAATTCAGTGAGAAACATTTCTTCTGGAATTGTTTCACAGAACTTTCTAGAAAGATCTATTTCAATCTTGCTGGCACTCATTCGATTTTCTCTCCTCCATATGACTGTATCTGAACCCTCCCAAGCTTCATCCTTTGAGCATGTCCCACAATGGTCAACATGACCTCTGCCAGGCTTTCCTCTCAAACTTTCTTCACAAACTGTACTTTAAATGGCTTGGAGCTGTTTTAGTCTATCTTTAGACTCTTAGCCCTGTGCTCTTTTTATTGAACAAAGGGAAGAAAAAAAAAACAAAAAAAACAGGACAAAATCTCCAAAAAACCAGGACAAGATCTCCTTACCTGTAAAGCAGTGATTGAACACTTTTTTATCTTTTTCCAGCTTCAATTCCTTTATACCCTTTTCAGGATCTTTCATTGAGAGGTACAAAGCACTGTGCATAAAACAAACAACAAAAACTGTTAGCATGTAAAAAGTTACATCCAGCTGTTATAGAAACATTCTTTCACAGGATCTTCATATTTTGCTAGCATAGTGCTCTCTGCAGTGCTATAGCATGGCTTAGTGTTTTTCTCCTGAAAAGCTTTCTGTGCAAAACATGGAAGCTTCACCATTGCCATCAGAAATACAGGCACGGTGCAGAAAGGGCTCATCATTAATTGGCCCCATTTCGAGACTGTCCCAGCTTGTGATGACTGCAGTGTGAACAGAGGAATACCTACTGTGGAGGCTATTTGAACAGAAAGCCTGTGACTGGGACATCCCTTAAGCACATATGCTTTCAGAGGGCCCAAGTAACCTCAGTGACTCCTGATCTGACTTCCTCCTTCCCATCTGCTTTTCACTTGCTCAAAACTAATTCCCCGAGGTTCTGAAATGAGAAGGACAAACACTATGTGTCACAGGCTAAATTCTTTGGCTTTTTATTCAATCAGGGTGATCCTCTGATGAATCCAGTGAAGACATTTAGTTGGATCTTTGCCCCTTATTGTTTCACTGTCCTGTAAGAAGGACCACAGGCTCACTCCTATTCTTTGTATTTGCTGCTCAGAGACAAATATCACACTGACCTGTACTGACAAACAGAAGGCATCTTGAGTGTGCCCTTTATGTTTCCTTCTCCCTTTGCCAACTCCAAGTACTCTGGCAGGCACTATCTTCATCATGCAAAAACCACTGCTAACAGTAGTATTTGTCCAGAGATAAGATAAATATAAAAACATTTTTACAGTAAATTCTGTCCTCTGTGAAAATGCTTCTCCTAAAAGAATCACATGTAGCGCTGCAGTGTACACAGAAGCCTGCTCATAAGCCAAATCCTTTGACAAATTAGCTTGTTTTTATAAAGATGATGCTTTAAAAAAAAAAAAAAAAAGTCTTCCCAGTTCTCATCACAAGTTATTTTTTGCCATGCTGAAACTGTCAGTTATGCAGAAAGGACTCCAAGGGAAACTGGATTGGTAGCATGGACAGACATACTAATAGCTCTTCCATGCTGAGGTTACATCTCTGCCACTGCCTGCAGAGGGAAGTAAACAGACGAGCAGAGCTACAAGAACATACCTCAAGTTGATTGTTTCAGGAAGTCTGATGGATTTTCTTGTGGATTTTCTGGCAAATCTTTGACCTCCATCTATGCACTGAATTGCCTTTTTGACATCCCGTACCCAAGCATCTCTCTCTTCCAGGTAGGAGGCTTGAAAAAAGTGGTCTTGCTGCTTGGCTGCAGTGAGTTTGAAGACAAACTGGAAGGATAAATAATGTTTTTTTCAAGTTACTTTAGTGTAGCTGGTGCCACCATGGCATACAGTCTATCTAAGGGGCTTTGGAGAGTGCCTTAGAGCCACAGTCAAATAATTCTAAAGAAAAGCATGGACAGGCAGTACAGATAATGGACTTCTGTTACTTTCCAGCTAGAGCTAACATCAGCAAAAATGAGTGGCACCGATATAGCTGATGATTTTAACATTTGCTGGCAAGTCCAACATAGCTGAAAGACTGAAGTACCCATCCCCTGCAAAATCACATGGGTGTAAACCTGTCTCACTATTTAGAGATGTGGTCAGTCTGGAGGAGAGGCAGTAACGAAAAAACAAACCACACCATATGCTTAGAGAGAAGAAAACTGTCACAGAGAACAGCTGCACTTGTTTGCAGTCTAGCACACTTCTAAGGATTTGGCAGGGAAATGATAAATCCAACTCTGAGATACACATCGTGATCACTGCCTCTCTAATATACACTGACCCCAATGGAAAACTTGTACTCCCACAAAATGAGAACAGATCTTTTAAAGGCAGGACTAGGCAGAGAAAAAAAACAAAAAAACATCAACTTGGAAAAAAAAAAAAAACCCTCTAAATTCAGACTGTTTGATCTTGCTTTCATCCAGTGACCTTTTGGATGGAAAATCCAGGTCAAATTACTCAGACAAGAGGGCTTCCATTTCCTCTAAAATACAACTCCCCGTAAGAGGAACTGCTACGTTTTCCATAGCTGTACAAGAATAAAAAGGCTCAGTGGGCATCAAACTGGAAACATCAAGCTAATAATGGAGCAAACAGCATGGGTCCATAAGGACAAGTAGAGACTATCATCAGAGGGCACAGAACAGTGGATCTACAGCAATGAAATCAAGACTGAATCATCAGCTGTCTCCAATCCTAGAAGTGAACAAACTCCTTTCTGGAGATGTGTATCTATTTGTGCTTTTGAGAAAATTAGAGCATTAGCTTGAACTAAACACCAACATTTTAGATAAATGAATCCCACTATAAGGAGCCATACATGATAATGCCATCCAGAGGAAGAGAGAGGAAGAAGGAATATAGCAGAATTAACATCACGTTGAGCAATGATAAAGATTCACATCAAGACCAGTAAACAACGGTGAGTACATTTTGCAATTAAAATCATTAAATATGCAGTCACAGCCTCTTGGGAACAAGCTTTATCTGTTTAAGAAATCCAAGATTACTTCCTTTCCCCTCAACATCTGCTTTTTGAAACTGATTTACCAAACTGTGTGCTGTAACTTGCACCCATGAGGTTTCAGACTGTATCACTGCATTGAGGCCTACCTGACTCAAACAGCTGAAATCTGACCAGATGAACATGGAAGTCTGCTCACAGCTTAATATTCCCTGCCCCAGTGTGAATTCAAATAATACTAGACTTAAAACAGACCTAATTAGAATTACCCCACTTCTTACCCTACAGAAATCTTGACCACACTTGATCTTCTTGACCATCTTGACTACACTTCCATTTTTAGTGCTATAAATGCATTCAAGCCACTATAAACCAGAATTATTCCCATAAGCAGCACAACTGTATGTTTTAGCATGCAATTAACTAGAATGCACAATGCAATACAGAGGCTTTGAATTCAGCTGCATAATAAAGACATAAAATATCAAAAACTAAAGTTCCTGTATTTTCAAGGAATATATGCAGTAATTTAATCATGTTGGGCAGTAACTACTAGTAAGAACAATCCCAATAACACCACTGCTTGTAGGAATTAGTATGCAGCAGTTTTGACTGTTTGAGAAATGCAAATTTGCACTTCTTCAGGGCTGCTGCTCTATGGACTTGCAGAGGGATCTCACTGACCTAACAAAGAGGATCTGCTCCAACACCTAATGAAGTCATTGGGACCACTTCCACTGACTTCAACAAACTGCATCAGATTTTACTTCTGAAAAGGCACGTGCCTTGTCTTCCTGATCTGACACTGAATACTTTACCCCTCTGCCTATTTTGGGAGTGCACATGCAACCACTACAGAACAACAGTGATTTTATTAGGACATCAAACACAAAAAAACCTGTCCAGAAAAAAATGCTTTACAAGGAAAAAATGAATGTCTAGTACTATACTGTAGGATCTGATACTCCAGAACAGCATCCTCCTCCCACATATAGAGTAAGGAAAGCTGTACAGAGGGTTGTTAATTAGATAGTGCTGAGACACAGTTTTAAACTGACAGAATTAGAACCAGATGCGTACAGATACACTGTCTTCCTTCATTTGATTATTTAATTTTCTTCCCCCATGCTCAAGTCCCTGAATGTAATTACACTTTATTGTTCAGGGTTTGCAAAAGAGGGGAAGTCAAGTGCAGTAATGCAGAGTTCTGGCTTGCACATATGCTTGCTGAAGCAAAAGGTCAGATCCAAAGTTGCAGGGGTTACCAGTAAAGCTTGCCCAGCCTTGCCAGAGGCTGAGTCGGGCAGAAGCTGTCAGCAAGAAGGAGTAGATGGCTTTGGTCTCAAATGTTTCTGAATCAACTGAATGCTCTCCCTTGCCAGCTCAGGTATTGCTGTATCTATGATGACCATCGGATAAGGATGCACGATCATAAAATCCTCCTTCCAGACACAACAGTACAGTCTTCTCCTGGACTAAATGCTTGCTACTAAACTCTTTCAAACAAGACTTTGAATTTACCAATATCATGATACGTGCATCTCTTTGGGAATTTGGACCTTACCTTGCTTACTGTGCTTGCCTACAGAGAGCCCAAATGCATAGCATCATTTCAACTAATTTCTCCAAATCAGTTTTGGTTTTTCACTCTGAGTAAACATGTAGCTCTTAGTCATAGGTAAAAGCTCTACATATAACCACATAACATGCAAATAAAACAGATTATATGAGTATGAACTACCTGACCTCATGTACTTACTGAATGGTAACGAAACAGTTTGGAATCACAGCTTTTTTAGGGCATTTGTATCACAGCATTTATCTCCCTCCCACTCAAGCAAACTAGTCAGTGCTCTTTGGCAATAACTATGTTTTTCCAGGGCTCATGAGACAGTTTACTACAGTTTTATTTTGTGGCTATTGGTACCGTGAAAATACAATTTAGATCCATTATGACAGAGTCAGAAATCCAAACAACTGCTTTCTGAGCTGCTTCTCTTGAAATATCCTGTGCTGTTCCTCAAGCAGTCACACCTTTCAAACACTACAAAAGTCCAAGCCTGCTTGTGACCTTCTAAGACAAATGAGAGTGATCACCAGGATATGAATAAGGAATCTAACTACCAGCCTTGTGCCCTTTCAGGGCCTTCAGCAGTTTAAGTATACTGTCAATCATAGTTATTAGAAAAAGAAGTACTTACCATTCTTTTGCCAAAGTCTTGGCATGGGCTGTTGATGGTGCTTCCTTTTAGTGGGATCATCCCTTTGGGGCTGTTGTCAGACTTCCGCTTGTAGAATTCAATTCCATCTTCTAAGAGCACAACCCACATTGGCTTCCAAGTATTAAACATGCTACCCTGCATTGAGAAATCAATGGATATCATGTGAACAGTGAAGATGTGATCTTCCACAGAACATCTGACTCTAAATTAATTATCATGTCTCAAGGGGAACACTAAACCATAACCGCATCCATCTTATTATGCAGTTCAAACACACTGTTGTTATTCTTCTGACCACCATTTACTTCCTCTTCCAGTGGCCCCACCTGTAAGTTTTTCCAATATTTTCCCTGTAGGCATTTCTTTTCAGCTTGTCCCAGCCACTTTGATTCAAGATGACAGCCAGCAGGGTGAGGGAGGTGATCCTGCCCCTCTGCTCTGCACTGTGAGACCTCACCTGGAGCACTGCATCCAGACATGGAGTGCTCAATACAGGAGAGACATGGAGCTGCTGGAGAGTGTGCAGAGGAGGGCTGCAAAAATGAGCCCAGGGATGGAACACGTCCCTGTGAGGACAGGCTGAGAGCTGGGCTGTGCAGCCTGGAGAAGGGAAGGATCCAGAAGACCTGAGAGCAGCCTTTCAGTATCTGATGGGGGGCTGTAAGAAAGAAGGGGACAGACTCTAGCAGGGTCTGTTGTGGTAGGGCAGAGGGAAATGATTTCAAACTAGGAGAGCGGAGATTTAGATGGGACATAAGGAAGAAGTTTTATTTTTTTTTTTTACACTAAAAGTGGTAAGGCAGTGGAAGAAGTTGCCCAGAGGAGTGGTTGATGCCCCAACCCAGAGACTTTCAAGGCAAGGCTGAGCCAGGCCCTGGGCAATCTGTAGAGGTCTCTGTTCATTGCAGGGGTGTTCAACTAGGTGAACTTTAGTGGTCCCTTCCAATTCAAGTGATACTAAGATTCTAAGTTTGCAGAGGATTTCTTGACTTCAGCAAATAGCAATGAGTAGTTTAAGGTTCTTAGGGTGCAGATCCCAAACTGCTGTGGTGAGAATTTGAGGTGCTTCATTTCATCTCTTGAAGTTTTTACCTCCTGTTTCTGAATCACAGTTTTTAGACAAGTGAAATATAGAGAAAGTCAGGGCCAGAACCTACATATAGTGAAATAAATGGCCAAAGTCTCAGGGACTCAAAGAGGAACGATCTGTTTCTCTGTGCTCAGTTAGCATGATTAAGCTCTAGAATTAAGAACCTTGTGCTCTAGCTAGCTCAGCCTGCCTGCAGACAGCTTTAAGAACAGTCACAATCCCAGACACAGAAGTGACTGACTTCTCATCCAAATGAACATTTAGATATGCTGAATATCAACAGCTTCTCTGAAGAATTACTGAAGAGCACCAGACATACATGGGTCCAGAATTCTTCAAAAACATTAGTTGTCCTTAGTCTTTCCAGCACAAAGAGAGACCCGTTTATTCCCCCTTCCCTCCCCCATGGTGACCGGACATTCTTAAAGCTGCAGATAGAAGCAAGGCAGACACCATCACACCGTGCAAAGTGCCTTGTTTTCATCTTCAGACATGAGAGAGGGACTGCACTAGCTGCATTTGCGTTTCTACACACGTGAATGGGACAGAAAAAACATCTTCCTTTTTTTCCCACCCCACCACTCCCCAAATATAGCCTTTCTCCATCACATCCTTCCTCCTACTTTTGCTTTCTATGCCTTTCACACTCCGAATCAGATCTTACATTCAGCTACAAGGTGAATAGGGAAAACTGTCAGCAGAGATGGTAGTAAGAATGGAACCTGCTCCCAGCCTCTGCAGCCCTCACCGGAGGCAGAAGGATCCCCACAAGCAAATGCTACCTTCCAAAGGAAAAATCACTATGCTGGGGGCTGTCTAGAAACCCAGCTGAACAGAGAGTTACAAAGAAGAGCCAGTCTTGGATATGGATTGCACACAGGGATTGAATGCTGTTTCCTCTAGTTTGATTTTTTGCTCATTTAAGCTGTATGAATTTATCATTTCTGGAGAACGTGACCCATAGGTTGAACTTCTGCTAAGGAATCAAGAAAGATGGTGATCCAAGACTTGAGCCACCACACAATCCTTTTATTTGCCAGTCTAGCACATCTTTTGATATTTCTGCTAATACTTCCTGAAGATTCTGACATGCCCTGCCAATGGAAGCCACTGCACAGCTGGGTTAGACCAGCAGCTTTACATCCACCTTCAGAAAGCCCAAACGTGGTCATGGTGATCTCAGCTAAAACTGCTCATGAAAGACAATCAAGAAGGATGCTGCATGTTTTTGTACTAAAAATCAGACCAACTCCTCTGCTCCAAAAACTTCATATAAAGATGGATGTTCTCCAAATTGGTTTCTAAATCATTAGCTGTGTTAAAAACTCATACAATCCTGCTTTGGAAGAACAACTTAAAAAAAAAAAATAATAAATTCCTGCAGCACTACATGAGTAGAAGCCGTTTTCCATGCTTGCTCAGAAGATTACACAAAGTCACCACAAATACACGTAGCAGCTTGGGACGACCTAAAACCCACACTGAATGCATATGTAATAGAAGTCATGCTGTACCAGCTAAAACACTGATCCTCAAGCATGTTCCCATGAGGTAAATTAGAAAAGAAGAGAGCCAGTGAAAAACAGCCTTCACCCTTGGCAAAGACAACTGTGGCTGTGTGAGTGACTTGTCTGGGAGGTGTGGTCCATAGCTTCACTTTAGAAGCATAACAAAAAAGAGGAGAATATTTCAGTAGCAGGTAAGATTGATAAGGACCTTGCCCATCCTGGCTGGAAGCTCTGCTTACAGAATCCACTGCAGTCTTACTGATAGATCAAACAGCTGCTACCAGTCTGGTCTGCATCTTCTCCTTTTGCCCTCCAGCCTCCATTTGGCACACTGCTGCTCTTCACCATCAACACAAACTCACTTCAGCAAGGACAGAACCACCTTACAGAAAAGGGGCACAATTTCCACTTCTCTATTGCTACTGAAACAGCACATGCAGCAGCAATTTTCCATTAGCAGTACCCACACAGAGAGACTTCTTGGGGACCAGCACCCACAGGAATGGCAGGAACTCACACCGGATGCCTGCACACATCTTTTCCCTGGCATGCCCCAGCCAGACACAGTGCTTGTGTTCCTAGCCATTTCCTTGCCATGGAAAAATATAGATTGTGAGCCACCTGCTCTAAATATTGGGCCACCAGAACTAGAGAGAACTGCAATCTGCCGTGAGTGAATTTGGTCATCTCTTTCCTCATGACAGCATCAGTTCAACTTTGAGATTACTGTATAAACTCGCCTACTTCCAGTGCCAGTGGAAATAAGACTGAGGAGTGGCCTCTATGCAACAGTGGCAGCAGATTAGAGCTCTCCAGCCAGCAGCTCTAAGGAGCTGAATTCTGGTTTTGATGAGCAGAGATCCCACAACAGAGCTCCTCCCTTGCTCCAGAACTGACTTGGTTTAAACTGCTGGACACCAGACTGGTCTCACTAAGGATTTCAATAACAGTTGTAACCTAATCCTTGTCCATGGTCCCACAAGCTCTCCCTACTTAGGGATAGCAACGTGCTTCTCTAATATTTTACTCTCTGATAAAGCACGGTAGAACAGGCTCTGGTCATTTTGAGCTGTTACCTATTTTACCAAGCTTCCAACCAAGGCATTTGTGTTTCTTAGTAAAAAAAAAAAAAAAATATATATATATATATATATATATATATTTGACCCAGAAGTACTGTAGGATAAACACAGAAATGCCTCATCACATAGTACTGCAACAAGATACGACTGCTAGCAGTACTTCTGTAATCAATAGATCACTTCTGTAATCACACTGTTTTACTACTCACAGAATTGCTTTCATTATTCACCTTCCTTTTTAGGAAGAAAAAAAAAAAAAAGCTTTTTAATTTTAAATAACTGAAAGCAAAGCATGTTTCCCTACACTTCCCCAGCCTGCTCAGTCAGCTCTCTTCTCCACCCTGTCCAAGGCTGCCTGCTTACCTTCTTCACCAAGTAGCCCTCCCTTATGCGCATCGGCTCTCGCTCCATGTTGCAGGCAGTCCTGCCCTCAGGTCTATCAGAGCCAGCAGTTAAGCTGCTCTGGTAACAAACTCTGTGGGGTGGGGTTTTTGGTGTTGTATTTTTTTTTTGAAACAGTACAGCTGTGTCACTTTCACAAGTTCCTCTGCCTGCTAATCATATGAAAAAAGGCCATTTCCTCTTACAGAGTGAGAGATAGGGAAACATAGAAGCATGAGATATTTATAGGTTGCCTCTGACAGAACAGGCGACAGCACAACAAAATGCTCAGCTCTATCAAGCACTGCCAGCCTTGATGGCGGAGTCCTGGGAAATTAAATGAGCACTTTAATGCCTAATCCCAATAAAGTGCGCTCCACAAATACATGAACTCTGGCAAAACAATGGAGGGTGGTGTGTGTGTGTGGTGTGTCACATGGCTTTGTGCTTACTAAAAGATCTCTCCAAGTTTCCAACTCCCTAACTCTGTGACTTCACCCCACCTTTGAAGCCTTGCTCCTGAGGCACCAGCAGGTAGGGTTTGGCAGTAAGCAGGAAAGCCTTTGCTTGGTTAATGATGCTGCGCCCTCTGCTGATACAAGAAATCTGGGTTTTAATACTGAGACTTCCCAAACTGGTTAGATGTCAAAATATCACTTCCTACGTGCATCTTTTACTTGTTACACAGCCCATTGGGTAATGTTTGTTCAAAAATAAGATAAAAACATTTTCCAACGTTGGGTATTATAGCAGTCACACTCCCTCTTTCCCATACAGGAGGAAGGATGGTGTTACACAGGAGGCAATGAAGAGGCCGCTGCACTGCCAAGAGCAATTCTGTCCTGAACAAGATTCCAAATCATGTTCACAGCTAAGCCCACTTAGGCTGCGGCTGAACCCAGGGTTAACTCAACCTCAGCCACTTGCAAAGGCCTTTTGACCTGACAGGCACAAGGCCTGGAGCTTCCTCCAAATAGCACCATCATTATTACAATATAAAGAGGTCTTCTGCTGGCTGGGATGCTCCTCTGAGCTCCAGGATCAAGTCAGCAACCCCGTTAGCTCTTTATGAAG